ATTGCCTCATATTTGCCCGTGCGGTGCAAGAGACATGCAACATATAAGCTCTTAAGTCCATTTCACATAAATGAAGTAAGCCTAGATGGGGTGCATAGTAAGTCTAGATGGGATTCACCAATATGAGTGTGGAAATTTGGTCACTTCCGAAAGACCGGGCCTTCCTAGAAAGCTCATGAAAACCAGAAGGGCCATTATGAGTAGCCATAGAAAGGAATACATAGGCAAAAAGAAAATGCATACTGTTGAGGCAAAAAGAAAATGCATACTGTTGAGGGTTGACGTATTAGAAGGACATAACTCAAGGTTCACCTATTTACTGTCAAGCAAGGTACTCAATATCACACTCTGAAAATTGAAATTTTTTAGGACTCCTTTAATGAAGCATTCTCTTTCCTGATTTGCAAACTCATTATTTAAGAAGCTCTTAAACAAGTGGGGGATTGTTGGATATAAGCATGATTAATTTGTGCTTAAAACCAACTTAAACAGAGTTTGGGAAGTCTGGTTTCGAACAATGAAGGTAGAGGATTTGTTCTGCTTGATGAACGCAGCATCACATTCTGATCTATGCTTTTGTTTGTCAATGAGTTAGAACTATTTTCATATAGTTTAATTTTCGGCCCAAACTCTTGGGAGCAATTAAAAAGATAAAAATCCCCCTAGCAGTTTTTTCACTTAATCTCACCTGCACTATGGCTACAATAGATGAATAATGACTCTAACCTTAAAAGAAACTAATTAGTTGGATTAAAAAAAAATCTGTTAATTGAAAAGCGAAAACCCTACTTTTGCTAGTTTTCACCATTGTTAATTGGAAACAAGTTCTCAATCAATCTTCAAGCAAATGTCAAGACATTTGATTCTCATGGTTTTGGAATCCCATATAGGGGCCCTGCAATCCCCATATAGTTATCAAAAGCATCCAACTCTCAGAGGTCCTAAACGAACGTTTCACTCGGTTCAGTTTAACCCTGTGTGTATATTCGTCTAGGCTTGAGTACATCACATTACAATGACGACAACGGTAGCATCCTACGACTTTCGGTTCAATAGAAATACATCAAAGCTGCTTTCGAAAATCAAGATATCAGTGGATGATGTTTGTTGGCTTTGCAAAGACAGTCCTTGGTGAAGAACCGGTGATCATTATACAATAATTTTAGCAGAGTGAAGTTGGTTGTGAGTGATTTTCTCTCGGCAAACACTTCCTCTAAATCTTTTTGAGTGTTTGGCCAACATTGGCTCAAAGCACCAACTTTGAATTGCTTTATAGAATGCTCTGTTCTCGAAACAGTGAAACAGTTCATTCAAGGTACTAGAAGGTCATCAAGTATCACCCCCCGGAATCCATGTCAAAAATGAGAAGTGTTTTGGAGGTTTTACATGCCTGCAACTTCGACCGCAGTTAATTAAGTTCTCTCATTTCCAGCCTCAGTTAAAGTACATTTACATTTTGCAATGGCATTACTGACATGTGACCCTCCATTAGTGGCAAAGCAAGCTTGAGTCGCCACAAATTTGGAGAAAGGAGAGCTTTCGCCATGATTACTCTGAGAATCACAATTTGTCGTTGTGGTTACTTAATTTCAGCCAAGTTTCGGCTTAGATTTATACCATTTTGAAATATTCCAATGGATTCTAACCCCCTAGTTTTTTACATTCCCACCCTAAATAAAAATGCAATATTCTTACCAAAAATTTCCACCACTTTAACACTATTCTTACCAAAAAATCATGGCGTTCACAGAAATCCCATTTGAATCCTATAAATTTAATTATGGATTGGAGGCCCTTAATCAAGGGAAAGTGCATTATTCCTCCATAATATATTCGGGAAAAAGATGCATACCTTATTTCCTAAAGTTCTCATCCCATATACATACTCTGGTCCATGGAAGTCCTGGACTTGTTCAAATTATTAAAAGTATGATAAATACTCCCCGATTCTCAATAACTTCTCTTTTTTCTTTTTCAAAAATGCCCTTTTCTGTATAGTTATACCCTAATAGTTCCAAACCAAGAGCATAAAACACCAATTTTTCCTTCTCTTGTATCCATTTTACCCATTCCTATCTCAGAGAGAGAGAGTTTACTGGGATGGATGAAAAAGAGGGGAAAGTGGGAGTCTTATGTTTTTCGTTTAAAGAAATAGGCAACTGTTAAAAAGAAAACGAGAAAATATTAATATGGGGTATTTGTCAATTTTTTATAATTTAAGTAGCTGCCAAGGTTCTCATGGATCTGAAGGTGTATATGGAGCGAAAAATTCAAAGAAAACTCTTTTCCCATTTTTTTTTGGAAATAAGCACATAACATACATTTGAATTCCACAAGCATGCAAGTGAGCCATATTCTAAGAGGACTCTCTCAAATTCTAAGGGGACTCTCGTTCCCTCTGATCCAACCCAAAAATTGGACACCAAAGACCACATGCCCCCTGCATTGCAAGGGTTACAATACAATTTCACATAGCGAAATTTTGCGGGTCTAACTCATTATGAAATATAGATATAAATAGGTTTAGGCCACATTGGGAATGGGGTTGAGGTGGTGGGGATGGTACTACCAGAGCCTCAGCTACCTACGTTTTTATTCCCACTAATGCATTCGAAAACCACCAACTATTTCTGAAAATGGGTAGAGACTGTATTCTCCACTAATCTACCCAAAACAAAAATGTTTAGACCACATTTAGCTAGAACAAGCGTTACAGTACAATACCATCTCAAGGCCGTGATATCTGGTATACTATTGAATAATACTTGAAAGCATAATATCAAAAATAACTGTTGTTATTAAGGAAAAATATACAACAAGATCATTTACTTTTAATACAAGAAAGTCACAATCATGCTTGTCCATCAAATTTCAAATATGATGGTTGTAAATATGCCATTGACTAAACTCAAAGTTAAAAAATAATTAAAAATCATGAACTTTATGACACATCCCAAGTCATCCAATTTGATGTCTAATGGCAAGTGACAATTATAACCTCATTATAATAAAGATAAATGGTCTCCTAGCATATAATCCTCATCTTTTGTACATGGAGGTCATAATCATTTCCACTCATTAGATGTCAAATTGGATATCTTGAGGTGAGTCACGAAGTCTGAAATTTTTTTTTTTGAAACTTTGTCTATTCAATGATAATCTTACAACCACCCATTTTGAAATTTAAGGGACAAGAATAATTATAACATCGATATACAAATGATAAATGATCTATTTATAGATCATCCCCAAAAGATAAAAGAAAAAGTTTATATAAGGTTGCAACCTTAAAATGTAGAATTACAGATACACCTCAAAAATCCATCGGAAAATATTGATTTAATGTTAAAAACCCTCTAATTAATCATCTCGACAACGAGATATATGAATATAAAAAATAAAAAAAAGATTTTAAGTCCCTAAAATAGTGCATCTTGCAACACATTATCTAGACCGTCCATTTTCAAGATTTTCATATGTTCAAGATCTACTTGATTTTAAGCATTTTTAGAGTTTAAAAATTTTAAATTTTTTAAATTTTTATAATTAGATATGAAAATAGATTATGAGATAATCCTAAGAATTTTTATACCAAAATTACATGTTATGCTAAAATATGGAGGTACGCCTAATTGGATTGTTAGAAAAATATAGGATACAACAGAATTTATAATGGATGTAAGAGTGTCACCTATGTTATTCTTTAGAGCAATTTATCAAAATGCACCTCATACCTCACATGGCAACATTTTTTCTGCCATTCCAAGTCAAAATCATAAAGATTTTGATAGATATTTCGAATTATTTCAAATTATAAAAGTAAAATGTTAAATAGTCAAGGACACGGTTTCTACGAGTCCACAGACTCCCATGTAGACATGCAGGCCCCTTAATAATTTATTTTGGAATAGAATTTGATCTTAATTTTTAGGAAATATATAATCTTTAACATGGAAATTATTAATCTATAAAAATATATACATTTTTAAAACTAGAAATGATATTTCTTGGAGAAAATATTTGAATAGTTTATTTTATTTTTTCTTTGGAAGACTATTATTTATGGGACCTGATTTTAGTGGACGGTGTAGATCTCCAAGCCTCCATAGTATCAGGTGTAGTGGACGCACCAAACAATTCTCCAATAGTTAATCGCATAGATGTATTTTGATTAGTTTCCCCATATTAAAAAAAGTTTTATATTTAAGAAAGTATACATAACAATATATAATAGCTGATTTTTTTGAGAAAAAAACAAGGACATTGTAGAATTTATGTAAAGTCGTAGTTTGTGTACGGGCACAGTCTTATTGTTAGAAGTAAGATATTGTTTTGACAAACAAATTCAAAATCCGGAGTATTTCTTAAAATAATTATAGATCTACATCATCTAACCATAGAATAACGTCGATCCATGAAAGGCCGCTAAAAACCACCGTTATTCAGACATTTTTGGCGTGTTTTTAGCATAGGGACACCAGTTCAGAAAAATCAGAAACATGGAAAACAAAAAATTAAAATTTCCCAAATTCCCCTTCCATTTTTACTGAATAATGACTATCACAACTCTCAGTAAGCCCTAATCCGTTACTGGAATGGCAGAGGAAACAAAAAAAAGGAGAGGAGAAAACACAACTGACCTATTTGGAAGAGGAGGCTACTCAAACCACTGCAACCAGGACCTCCGCTCAGCCATAGGAGAAGAGGATCCGATTTCGGATCCCCCTCCGATTTGACAAAGTAAAAAAAAATGCCGCTGCTCTATTTCCTCATCAAGAGTACCTGCATCATTCCACACTTTTCTCATGTCAAATCTCTCTCTCTCTCTAACACTCTCTCGCAAAGACATTGAGAAGAAGCGTCACTCTCTGTGTGTGACATTGAGAAGAAGTCTCATTTTCTCTCTCATACACATCGAGAAGAAATCTCATTTTCTCTCTCTTATCCAGTATAGAGTTCAAATGGGGGCGGGCATCGGAACCAGGCAAAAACCTAACTCTTGCAGATCTCTCTACGCTTTCTCTCTGTGGAATGGCCGATCCGGAAAGAGAAACAACAAAGAAAAGGGAAGATCTCTCTACGCTTTTGCAATAGCCGATCCCAGAAAGACAAACAAGAAAGAAAAGGGACAAGGCTTCATCTTGATCTAGAGTAACAGAGAAGGCCTCATCTTGATCTAGAGTGAGAAAGCTAGTCCTAGAAGTGAGACACTCGGCCTTTATATGAACGGATAAAGATGGGGATAGTATTTTATTCGTTATATACAGGGATTGATACGGAAAAGTCTCTATTTTTTTATTTAAAAAAGGGCGATTTAGAGCCCGCCTGTGAATTTGTCGCCTCCTCCTATATATCTTGGGTGTGTTTATTTCCAAGCAAGTAAGTACCGATATATCTTGAATTTTTATTTCCAAAAGTTCAAAATCATTGGTTTCATCAAATTTCTTTATTTTAAAATTTAACTAGTTATTTCACAAATTACTATGCAACACTTGGGAAAGAAGTTAGCATGATTACTCTTGTTGTGGTGAACCCCATTTCAATAAATCTAACACCTCGAAACCAAATCGCTTTTTACCGGCAAATCATTCCAAAAATTCATATACTAAAGAACCGAATATGAAGTAGTAAATTCGGTAAAAATAATATAAAAGTCAAAAAAACAAAAAAAAAAAAAGTCCAATAGCACAACCATGCACTACGAACCATAATCAAAACACCATTAAAATAATGTACATGGTTCACCCAAATTCGGGCTGAATCTATGGGCAACCCGCAAAGAACTTATTTACTTTCAATTGAAGGATTACAAATTTTGGGATATGTAAATATTACCTTACAATAGTAGAGAAAAAGCATACAATTAATTTTTCATACGACAAAGAAACCAACAATCGACTCATTTCCTCATTGTTGCCGGTTAACACCGTCGCAACAAAAAAACACTAATGAAAATCTGATCCAATACAAAACCACTACAAAGTTAGGATTTGCTAAAAAGCCCAATTTATATTCTTCCTTATAACTCTTTGCCTCCATCGCAAAACCTCTTGTATTTCTCTCTTAGAAATTCACTTTTATGAGCCTCTATAAAATGCCATCGTTCCATAACTACAATACACCCTCATGAAAGAGGGAATACCATTTAGGAGTGAATTTGGCATCACGTCCCAACATCCCCTAACCTACCAAAACCAGCACATATCCAAATAATAAATTTGGGGTTTTCTAAGAAAATTAATAGGCTATTATTTACTGAAGAGAAAATTTGAAAATTGCAAAGGTTCAAGGTAGTCTCGGCCTTGAGCAAATAGGTTATTTGAGTTGCAGCGATTCATTTAGAAAAATCTCAAAAAAATTCAAACTGAGGTTGAATTTGAACTTTTTTGGGGCTTGGTTTTTTATTAGGAAAAATTACATACATATCTATTATATTTTACGCTATTATAGATGTACCAAATAGTTTTTGTTATTACATGTACATCCGTTTTTTTCCTTTTATAATGTAATTTAAAAAAAAAACAACAACTTTACCATTTTTTGGATATTGAATATCAAAAAATTACATATATACCATTTTTCGGCATACCCTTTTCGGATGTTGAACATCCAAAAATTACATACATACCCTTTTTTTACTTTTTCGGATGTTAAACATTCAAAAATAGTCCAAAAGTTCATATTCCCATTTTTGGGTGCTGAACATCCGAAAATAAAATGTAACTGCGAAATGTGAAAAATAGGAATGTGAGCGCTTACTTTCGGGCTATTCCGAAAATGGTTTCTGATGTCGAACATCCGAAAATATCACATTTTCGGATGTTAAACATCTGAAAATGTGACTGCGAAGAGCGTTTAACTTTCGGGCTATTTTCGGATGTTAAATATCAAAAAAACCCTTCAATTCAGATATTCAACACCCGAAAATGGGAATGTGTTACACTTTCGGCCTATTTTCGGATGTTCAACATCCGAAAAATGGTAAAGTCGTATTTTTTTTTTAAAAAAGCGTTATAAATGGTAAAAAACGGACATACATGTAATAATGAAAAGTATTTGGTACATCCGTAATAACGTAAAATATAACAGTTATGGATGTAATTTTCCCTTTTTATTATTTACAATGACAAAGTCTATATAAGTGTGAGGCTCTAAGCGATTAAATTAGGGCGCACCTTAAAATTTTCACTAGAAAAGGTTGTTTTGATGCCCAAAAATCCTCAAATTGATCATCTCGACATCAAGATGCATGGACATGAGAAAAAATAATGGATTTCAAATTTTTGAAATAGTGCATCTTGTAATGCTTTTTTTTACCATCAATTTTTTAGATTTTCAAGTTTTCATAGATCTGTTCGATCTACACTATTTTTTAAGCTTTAAATTTTATAATTAGAAATGAAAATATATTTTAAGACTATCACAAAAATTTCCAATATTGAAAACACATTTCTCGATACTATTTGAATATGTGCTTTATTTTGATTGTTTAGAGGCTCGGCCTTGTACAAACTGCACCCTATTTTGAATGATTTATGGTTATTTCGTGACTCCAAGAGGCCACTTAATTAAATTGTTTACTTATATGGTTTTTTTCTTTTCACTTAAAGGGTAATTTAATTAAAGGACTCGGTTTCTATGTGGCAAAGCCAGTATATGTAGAAATGCGGGCTTCCTAATAAATCTATTTTTGTGATGGATTTTAACATTTAATTTTTAAAGATATGTACTCTCTAACTTGGAGATCATGAATATGAAAAAATAAAAAAATAAAAAAACTAAAAATAACAATTCTAGCAAGAAAGCATTTGGACCGTTAGTTTCCATTGTTTTTAGATGGAATACCTACTTGCATCCATATTTAAGATGGATGCTTTACACTTTCTGGACCGCATATGCAAAAATGCGGTCCAGCCCGCATAAAACAATTTTCCTTAATTAAAAAAGAATCAAGTTTCTACAAGGCCCCGGCCTTATGGAAAAAAGACGAAGTAAAACCTAACCTTATAACATTGTCTGCTAATAACTTTGGGCACAAAAGATCTGGCTCTAAAATTTGTTTCAATCATTGATAATGAAATTTATAGCTAACATAAATAGATAGATCTATGAACACTTGAAAATAGATTGTCTGAATAATGTGTTACAGTCGAGGTTTAAAATATGGTACGGTGACCTGAATCGCCCCTTCATAAAACCAATCCAGATCGGAGAACCGGAGTGAACAAAAAAAAATAAAATAGAAAACATAAGATGTTTAAAAATATAGTAAAAAATACATGTGGGACATTTCCCAATAGGCAAAACCATACATGCCCGACCAATTCCCGATCCAAACCGGTCAATTATGGTTCGACTCCCTTATTTTTCAAACCTTGGTCCAACACAACTTATATTCAATTTAGCTTTAACTCCTCTAGATTAGGCATGAAGTGTCTCTCAGATCTGCCACACTATCGTTGTGGATTCTACATGTGGGTATAAAATGGTTTCACATATTGATGAGTTCATTCGTTCAAGTGACTCCTTAAGATAGGATTCATAAATCTTACCAATTAATTATTTTTTGGTAATTATCATAAGTTTTTTGTCTCTCAATTTTAAATAAACGTTTTTCATACAGGGTGTGAATCTTATATTATTGAAGTAAGGCCCACTTAAAAAAGGGTTGTTATGACGCTAAAAAAGTCATTAAATTGGTCATCTCGACCTCGGGATATATGGATATAGAAATAAAAAAGAAAAAAAAGCAATGTTCAAGTCACAAAAATAGTACATCTTGTTAAACATTATTTAGACGGTCTATTTTAAAATATTTTAATTGCTTATAGATATACTCTATCTACACTATTTTTTAACTTTAAATTTTATAAGTAGGGATGACAATGGATTTTCATGCGCCAAGCTTTCTAACGGCGAAACTCTATCTTTTAACATAGTCTTGAGGTGCACCTTACAATTGTTGCCTTATACAAATCTCACCCAAAATATTAACAGAAGCCATATACAAATCTCACCCAAAATATTAAGAGAAAACCTTGTCCATGCGATGCATCAACCTGGTGTGCGTGGTCAAAGCAGCAATGGCATGTAAATGGCACATGACTGTTGTGGTTGCATACTTGACATATTGATTGAGAAGACTTAGGGTGTTATTTAAAAAAAAGATAAAACCAATGGCTCAAATGTTTATTGTAAAGAAGACTTAGAGTGTTCTTTAAAAAAGAAAGATAAAACCAATGGCTCAAATGTTTATTTTAAAGAAAATACATTTTTATTTATTACATATTAATAATCTTTATATTAGAGATTATATGCAGTTGGGAAAATACTGTGGTGATGATGATATTTTTAAAAATTTAGGATCAAAATTTATTTAAAAAATGAGATTGTATACAATGATACCATTTACCTTTGATACAAAGTGGTCACAATTACTTACAATCATTTGATGGCTTGGATATGTTATAAAGCTCGAGAAAATTTATTTTGAAGTTTAAGCTTGTTAATACAACAATTATAGCCACCCAATTTCACATCCAATGGTCAAGATTAATATGACCACATTGTACCAAAAGTAAATGGTCTAATTCTATACTTTCCCTTAAAAAATAGATTATAAAGGGGAATTGCACTTCTATATGAGTCTTGGGACTTCATCGAAACCGTATCCTATAAATTTCATCCTTTTTCTATATAAGTTTGAGGCTCCAAAACAGACTAAGGTGCACCTCAAAACTTCACTTGAAGAAATTGTTTCGATGCTGATACTCAAATTCAATCATCTCGAATTTGATATACATGCACATAAAAAAAAAAAAAAAAGGACTTAAAGTCTTAAAAACAATGCATCTTGTAATGAATCATCTAGATCGTCAATTTTCAAAATTCTCAAGCGTTTGTAGATATGCGAGATCTACATTGTTTTTAAAACTTTAAATTTTATCATCAAAGATGATAATAAGTATTCAAGCGATCATAAAAATTTTTGGTATTGAAATAATATATTTTGATACTATTTTAAGGTGCGCCTAGGGCCTTATGGCCTCTTGATATGGAAGCTGGACCGTTTAGGGCCTCATGACCTCTTGATTAGAGTAGTTGGGTCTATGTGGAATTTACAGATTTGGGAGCCGAAGGCGTAGAAATAAAATTTAAGGAAAGTTTGGGATAGAGCAAGGTAGCTAGATAGCTCAACACACTATAAATTCGCATGGCAGAACCCCCTTGGTAAA